TTTTCACCCCATTGTTCATTCCCATGATCTTGCTCAGAAGTGATTGAACTATTTTCAATGGACCATGAACAAAAACTTCCGTTATTTGTAACAATAAAGTCTAAAAATTGAAAGTGCATATATACTGCCTTACTCGTCGAGAAAACAGATTTTGGAATATGCAAATATTTGTAGATGTGGATGTTCATAATGAAAATAGATAAATTACGAATTTCTAATATAAATTATTAATGGTCCTCCAAATGCTTGCTAGAACTATAATTTTGTGGTAGAACTCTTAAGTCGCTAGAGAAAGAGAGGGAGAGAGAGGGAGGGAGGGCATGAGGAGGAGGAAAATGGGGAAGATGAAGTGAATGAATGTCCATAGAAGTAAGAATACTAAAATACACCTAGTAATCTATATAAGCCATATACACATATTACGAGATGATGTGCGGAGATTAGGGTCAACAAAATAAGTCAAATAACTATTCCTTTTGGAACATTTTTTCAAGTTCGTCATTTACTTTTAACATACTTCTTTACCCCAGCCATCAATTCCTCCATATCGAGGGCAGGATATCTAGTTAGTGACTGGTACAACGAGTTTTCCTTTGACAACCTGATCTTGGATTATGCAATAATAATATCAGAGTTGTAATTTTCTATCTCATTCATCGTTTCTCTGTAACGATGAGTATACTCTCTCAATGTTTTCTCTTGTTTTTTTCTCTAAAGGAAGCAGCACTCCAATATCCTTTGGGTGTTTGCTATTGGTGATAAACCGAGCAGAAAACTACTCGGCTAGCTACATCCAACTATTAATCAAATTTCTCAGAAATTGAACATACCACTTCATGGTTAACTCTCCAAGACTGCTGGGGAATATAGCACACATCCACGAGTCGTGCCTCCTCTAAACTTCCATAAGTAGCCTATAATGACGTAAATGGGCAGAGGGGCCCATCTTACCATTATAGAGCTTGAAGTTTCATCACAAAATTTCTAGGTATCCTCACTTCCTCTATCCAAGGGGCAAAAGGGGACACCTCGACTACCCCTAAATACTCCCCTTGTGGCCATCCTGGCCAATTCCAGGACATTTTTCTATTCGGAATACTTTAAACAATTGTCAAGTTCCTTGGTTATAAAGCACCTCCAACTATCTTCCTGGTCCTCCATCCGAGTAGATTTTTAGTCTCCCGTGTCTTTTGTATGTGCCGTCTCTACTCCTACTCCTGCATTTGGCAAGGATGCATCTACGATCGGTGTGGGGGAATGTTCCTTCAACATTGGTCCCTTGATGGTCAGATCCTTTAGGTACCTCTCAGTCTTATAATCTCCTCATAGGTTATTTTAGTTGTTTGTTCTCCCATCTTATCCTTTCCTCCTCCTCTTGGGACTTTTGCAACATGATGTCTCACGCGTCTAACCAATCCTGGAAGGACCTTATTAGTTTAATAAAAGTTGAGACCTCCCCGTCCGTTTGGGGAACATTGTCCCGGGAGTTAGGAGGCCTAGGGGATGTGTTCTTCCAATCTCTTTGGCCTTTGCTTGAACTTCTGGTGGTACTGCCCCTCATATCACTATTTGAGGGCTAAGACACACGATGGTTTCGCTTTAAGTCATACTCATCATATTTTTGGCCATTCTATGGTGATCCTATCATGCTCCATAGGTTTAACATGGCTAAATTAGTTTCTCATTTTCTACAAATGGTGTCAAATTGTACGATAAAAAAAACTCGCACATTTAATTAATGATGTTGTGGAGATTGAGTGATCGATTTCAAAAGAAACAAAAAATGCACATCTTCATGCAAAGCAAACAAATTGCTAGGGATCGGGGTTTGATCGACTGGATGCACTCCGATGCTAAAGTTAATAAAGTTCTGAGATCAAGCAATCAAATTGTAGGGAAGAAAGTGTTTACGGTAAGACTTAAATGTATCCTATATTTATAGGAATGTCTTTCCTACCGAGTTGGCTTTCGAATCCTGGTAGTAGTAAGGTGGTACACCACGAACCTAACCAGCTTCACTTCAATTAATTTCGTAGTAAATTTTATCTTTCAATATTTACTGGTCAGTTTTATAAGTCACATATTTACAATGTGCATCTTAATCAATGCTAAATCCTTATCCCATCAACTGTCTCAAGTTTTTAGGGATAGCCTAGCTATCTATTCTGTTCGAATAGGTCTTCAGCACTGTTAAATAAAGTTAAATTCTCACTAAAAAATTCAGTCTCGTAATATCTTTTTCTGAGCATACTTCATTAGGCTTTGCTTGACACACACTTTACTAATTAGGAATGCTAATCCACCAAGCAAACCACCTTTCCAATTGATTTTGGTTGTGGTTAGGTCTTATCCAATTTGCTTGGCTTAACCCAAATCTGTTCAACTGAGCTACAATTGTACTTTTTTCAACATATGCCACTTGTCACGTGACTTTGTCCGGTTGTCAAATCATGACCAAAAATATTCTGAACCATTACACTTATCAACCGACACAATTCAACATCGAAGAGTGTTAGTGCGGGTTCAACACTAGTATAGTAACAGTTTCTCAAATTAATATGTGAACTTTGTGGTCTTTTTTATTTTTTCGCTAATGTATTTTAAGGTAGTTATTTCAACAAATTAATCAGTACACTAGATAATTATGTTATGTCAACATCTGTGTATAAATAATAGCAAATTAAGGTACCTTGTATGAAAACTATTATCCCCAATATTGGAGTGGTATTGTGAGCACCCATGTCTCTTATTGTATGTCTAATATGCAATGCTCCTGTACTTCCAAATTTATTTCTTTCCTTTTTTAGATATAAATTATAGATTAACAGCTTTGCAATTAACTCTTATGTTCTAAGTTTTGTATTTTAAATAATACAAATGTAGAATTATTTTTATCGTTTTATGACTCTTTATAATAATGTATCTAACTTTGAAGTGCATGGTTAGATGAAAGAGGAGAAGGGATGTTGAAGAAACAAAAGTGAGAAAGAAAAATCACGAGTTATATATTTGATACGAAATTCAAACCACCATACTCTGCACGTATCCTAGTAATGGATCAAATTGAATTTGAGTTGAACATTTGATTGTTTCATTTTCACAATCTATGTTAGGGTCTGTTAAAAGTTAGAATTCAATAAGAAATTTGAACTAATCCAAGTAATTGAAAATCGGATTGTACTTGGCTTGGATATTAATGTATCTAAATTTGAATTTGGGAAATAAGATATAAGACATTTAGATTCAAAAATATCAAATTATATTCAATTAGTCGAATTTTATTTCATTCGAATTTGAAAGAAAAAGATATTCATTAATTGGCAAGTCTAATACAGACAAGTAGAGTTTCAGATATTTATATGTACATAAAAATATAATTTTCAAATAAATTAAAGTCAATTATCTAAAATAAAAGATAAAAATACAATTTATACTTTCATGAGAAAAAGAAAATTGAAACAAAATATACTATTGATAAAAGGAAGAATCACACTTTATACTTCAAAAGATTTAAGTATTTTTATTTTGCACTCTCAAAGATTAAATTTTTCATGCATCCTCAATGTATTAAAAGTGTTATAATGTGACAATTCACTTAGCTTTTATTGTTTATTCCGTCAAAAACCACCATATTATCGTTGACAGAAAGAACAACGAAAGCTAATGAAAAAGTCACATCGTAATAGTTTTAATACATCAAGGATTGAGGGTGCAATGTAGAAATTTAATTTCTAGGGGTATAAATTGAGAATTCTTAGCTATTTTGGAGTGAAAATTATAGTTTGCCCAAACTAAAACTTAGTTGTTGATATAAGCATCTCCGATCCTTACACTTTTTTAAAGTCAGATTTAAATTTGGGTAAAAAAAACTCATAAAACCCATCTCTAATCTTGGACTCATTTTTTTTACTCAAATTAAAGGAGAATCAAATCCTTATTCAAAATTTTAATGGTGAGATTTCATCTTCTTTAAAAATCTCATGATCATATTTTACTCTTTTAAATTTCGATTTATCCTCTTTTAAATTTGAGTTTTTCATTTTTTTAAAAATTTCAATTTTCCCATCAGAGCCCTTTGTATCAAACAAGTGTCAAAATTTTGTTTCAATGCATTGTTTTGGTCACTTACAAAACGAAAATGTTTCGACATGTTTTGAAAATATTTCAACTCATTTCAGAAACATAATAAAAAAATTAAAAAATTAAAAAATTTAAGAATTAATTTTTTAAAACATTAATCGAAATACACTAAATTATCTTGAAATCTCTTAAAACATTCCAAAATAATTGTACGAGTACATTGAAAACATTACAAAACACTTCAAAATATTATAAAACACCTCAAAATATTAGAATTTCGATTCTATTACTGATTCGTTCCGATTTCCTTAAAAATAAAAAAGTTTAAATATTTCGATTGTTTTAAAATGAAATTTTGATTATTGGTATCAAATTAAACTTTACTCAAATATTAATTTAAATATAAGTGAAAAATTGAATCACGAAGATGTTCGAATAGGACTTCATTATTTGTGGTGTAAGAAAGTACGAGTTTTTGAAAATTTGGCATATATTTTTTGAAAAATGCTATATTTACCAAAAAAAATTATTAAATTTTTTCTATCAAATGATATGACACAATCTCCATCATTGAATATTAATAGGATTTACTTATTTAATTATGAAAAACTATACCACATCATTTAGGATGAATATTTAGTAACCAGAACATTACACATTTTTTCTACCAACCATTGGTTTTGCCGGTGAATGAAATCTTACCTGGTCAAATACCAACGTGTCGGCTTCCCATTACATGGTGCCCGAACCGGTCAGACCCGATATAAACGGCCATTGTGTCAACGGTCATACTGGTTTTTCGAGCAATGTTCCCGTTTTTTCCCGCCATAGACGAAGAGTAGTGAAATATAGAAAGACACAGAGAGAGAGAGAGGGAGAAGGCAAAGGGTGTATTTGTGTCAAAGAAAGTTCAGAGAAAAATGACGATGGAAACGGTTGCAGTTGCGGTTTCAGTAACAACCATACCTGAAATGCACAAGAAGAACAGAATTCAGGTGTCCAACACCAAGAAACCCCTCTTCTTTTACGTCAATCTCGCCAAGGTAACCTCCTCTCTTTCTCTCTCTCTCTCTCGCTCTAATTTATTGGTAATTAGGGTTTCCCTCGTTATTGTAGAATGATGTTGTTTCTGTTTTTTTTTTTAATGCTAATTGAATGGAATTTTTTACAGGCTTGATTATTTAGTTTTTCGTTATCTATCTATACATGTTCACATATGGTATTTGAATCTGGATAGGAGAGCACTGCAAGTTTAGGTACTTGATTCGATTTTGAAAGGAAAAACGATCTAGTGCTAGAATGCCCAGTTTAGGTGTTTTGGGCGCTTTTGTTCCGATTTTGATGCGAAATTGAAGTTGTTAGGGGCGCTTTTATTGGACCCAAGTTTATCTTAGTTTGGTTAGAGTGAAAAATCTAGGAAACGCAAGAAATACAGTTTGTATAGTGAAACATATTTGATTATATTGATCTTTTTATGGAGGCTGAAGTGTAATGTCTGTACAATATCTCCCTCTCTATCCCTCTCCCTCGTTTCTTTGTTTTATTTCTTTTCTCTGCTTAGTACATTTTTCTTTCTGGTTCCCATCTAGCTCAAAAAGTAAGTTTATCGCTTGTTTTTGTCAGTGTAAGATGAACATAAATAATTATGATGGAAACTTAAAAACTTACCCGCAAGCATCTTGCCGCTATGTCAATGGAGCCTTAAAATCTAGGCCCTTTTTGAGATAATGTTGAGTTTGGCTTTTGAATCTTGGGTTAATGTGTGGTTCTGTCAATCGAATTTTGGTTATTTTTCCCTTTTCAATTTTGTCCTAAGCAAAAAAATAAATGGAAAAGATGAAAATAAAAAGAAGGAAAAGTGGTGAAACTTCTTTTACAGTCTTTTTTCTTTTTATTCCTGATTGTTGCAGATAAGTAACCAAAATTTTAAACTTTTGATTTAACTTTAAAGAAAAAATCTATGCTTCTAGGCCAGTAATTTTTTTTTTTAATTTCATCTCAGTTGGCTGAACTGGTAGTCATGTTTTTTCCTTGGGCAATATGCATTGTTTCTTTTGAAGTTTTAAGATATTAGGTCATGTTCAATTTTGAAATTCTGAGATGCAAGAAGTGCTTGTATCAAATACATATATGTACATGCTTATATGAGTTTGAAGGGAGCTACAATGCAATGTCAGCATTGATGTTCATCACCTGCTCTTAGGGGTAAAGGAGACCCAGTGACCAAAACTATGGTTTGACAATGGGACCTTGACACAACTGTCTTAATTTGACAAAATAACTTTAAGTTTCGCCCTTCCATACTATCGTTCGGTTTAACACGAATTCTCATGCTCATTTTAGTTGGAATTTTACAATGGTCCTTGATAGATGGGAACTTTTATGAGTGGCTTTCACTCAGATGAAGGATTTTGCTTATTTTTTCAGCCAAATATTCAATCTAATAAGTACCTTGTGTTAGAATTGAGAAATTCTATGGCTCGGATTAGATTATATTTATAATAATTTCCTCCCATACATCAGCTGCAGGGTTTCAATTGCAAAATTTTTATGATATTTTTGTTTTCATTTTTTCTTTTTTCTTCTTTTCTAGCTAGGATAGAATTGCATTCTACACCGTCAAGAAGTATAGAAGGCATTCTTCATTAATGAACTCATGCAGTTGTAGTATTTGTTCTTCCAAATTTCTAATAAATATTTGTTGTCTGCCTAGAAATAGAAGCCCAACCCTCACTCATTGTGCTCAATCTAGTTCGAATCCTTGAGCAGCCTGAGATGTAAAGCTCTAGTTTGTAACTGTGGAAACATTGAATCCTTATTGATGTCTGCCATGTGAGCCAATGTTATAGTGACCAACACTACCCTTTTTCTGCTAAGGGGTTGCCTTGGTGAGAAGTTTTGACTTCTTATAAGTGAACCAGTCTTTTGTGTTTTACACTGTATTTGGAACCTCTCTACTACAATCTGAAGACATACCATGTGTATAATTGAAAGCATTAAGGAAAGCAATGGACAGTAACTCATGGATTCCTCCTCAGTCCAGACACTCCATAAACTGAATGCATTATGCAATTAAACTTCTGAAAGCCTAAAATTAATTGCCTTGATCTTGCTAATTTGACAAAGATATTGTCAAGGCTTAGAACTTTTGGTAAATTCAGGCCAAAGTGAAACAGTTGAATCTCTTTCTGTATCTTGACATTGCATACATCTTGGATGTCTTTCAAGTCTGATTTTTGTTTTGAATGTATTCCTTTTTTTTCCGCAGAGGTACATACAGCAGCACAATGAGGTTGAGCTTTCTGCTTTGGGCATGGGTACTTATCTTGAATATTCTTTCATCATCGTTCTCCCTTTCACTGCTCATGTGATAATGAAATGAGAAATTGTTTTGTTGATGGTTATGCACTTGTATTTCCTTCATCATGGTATTCAATAATTTAGAAGAGCCCCCAAAGAAACACATATCCTGGCAAGTGCAATATAACCCTATAATACGATGCATGAAAATCAATCCTATTCTTTTGATTTGCCCTTGTTGACCTGAAACTGTACCCTGGGTAGGATGTGAATAAGGATAGTGAACTGGAATATTAAACTCTTGGGTGTGCATTGCTTTATTATTTTCCTAAAATACTGAAACTAGTTCAGCGCTTTATGATGCAATGCTAAGTAGAATGAAATGATGATGTATTTTCCAATCAAAAGCCTCATATTGCTACTCCCCGCAGACATGAAAACAACTTGGATATAAATGTTTATGTACTTGTCTAAAAAAATATCTGAAAATAATATTTGTTGCTCTGAAGAGATTTAGAGTAGAAATACCTCAAGTTCACTACAGTTTTCAGGTAAATTTAAGAGGCAATGTGCACTATGCAATGTTCCACAAGTTTCACAATCTGTTGTGTGAATTTGAGGCATTGTGAACAGGGCGGCCATACCCGACAGTTCAAAAAAAAAAAAAACAAAAGAATAGGGCCATACCAGCTGAAAATTTTGTTGGATACCCAGGGCCAGAAAAATACCACAAACAAGATATAAATAAAGAGGATATCTCTATTTCTCTCTGGAAATAAAATACAATAATTATTACAAAAATTCTCACTGACATCTCTCCCAAACTCTCTCTGTTTCTTCCTCATTGAACTTGAACCATGCCATTTACCTTCACTAAGCTTCCTATTTATAGGGAGCTTTCTGGCAAAAAATAAGTCAAGGAGAAGGGAACACAATTTAAAGCTTGGGCAAGCTTTGTCAAAGCTTCACCTGTCCACCGCCAACCAGTCCATAGGGTGGCTATTGGCATGAGCTACTGGGTAGTAGATTCAGCTACTAGGTAGCCTTCTGATGGAGTTGCACCTTCAATTTTCCCCCTCTAGAACCATCAGAAGAGAATGTAATTAGACATTCATCCCGGTTATGTCTCTGCACAGCTCAAGCTTCTCCCGAGTGACGACCTTTGTCAACATGTCTGCTGGATTCTCCTTTGTGTGGATCTTCACTAGTTTCAATAACTGTTGCTCCATCACTTCGCGTATCCAATGATAGCGAATATCAATATGCTTCGTCCGGGAATGGTACATTGAGTTCTTGCTCAAGTTTAGAGCACTTTGACTATCGCAATGTACCTTGTATTCCTTTTGCTTAATATCTAGTTCTTGGAGAAACCGCTTTAACCACAACATTTCCTTACCAGCTTCCACTGCTGCAATATACTCTGCCTCTGTCGTTGATAAAGCTTTGCACTTTTGCAACCTTGACTGCCATGACACAGTTCCCCCTGCAAAAGTGTACAGAAATCTTGATGTAGATTTTCTACCATCAAGATCTCCTGCCATATCTGAATCTATATAGCCTTCTAAAACTGGTTCGACTCCCCCGTGACACAGACATATCTTCGATGTACCCTTAAGGTATCTGAGAATCCACTTGACCGCCTCCCAATGTTCTTTCCCTGGATTGGAAAGGAATCTACTCACCATACCCACTGCATGGGCAATATTTGGCCTTGTACACACCATTGCATACATTAGACTCCCAACTGCTTCTGAAGAGTAAGGAATCAGTGTCATATCTTCTATCTCCTTCTTTGATGAGGGACAAAAATTCTTGCTCAACTTGAAATGATTAGCTAGTGGGATGCTGACTGGCTTGGCAATATCCATGTTGAACCTCTGGATCACCCGTTCAACGTATTTCTCCTGTGATAGCCATAATTTCTTGGTTTTCCTATCACGAACAATCTGGATGCCTAATATCTGCTGAGCTGGGCCTAAGTCCTTCATGTCAAAGGACTTGGACAGTTCCTTCTTCAACTAGCTAATCTTTATTACATCATTTCCGACGATCAACATGTCGTCAACATAAAGTAGGAGTGCAACGAAATTGTCATCTAAGAATCTCTGAACGTAAACACACTGATCTGTAGCAGTCCTCTTATAGCCTTGACCCACCATGAATGAGTCAAATTTCTTATACCACTGCGGGGGCGCTTGTTTGAGGCCGTATAGACTCTTCTTCAACTTGCAAACCAGATTTTCCTTTCTTGGAACTTCGAAACCTTCCGGTTGTTCCATATAGATTTCTTCATTTAGTTCTTCATGAAGAAATGCAGTTTTCACATCCATTTGTTCAAGCTCTAAATTTAAACTGGCTACTAATCCGAGAATGACTGGAATTGAAGTCATCTTAACAACTGGTGAGAAAATCTCATCAAAGTCAATACCTTTCTTCTGTTGGAATCCTTTAACGACCAATCGAGCTTTATACTTCACCAATTTTCCACTGCCATCTTTCTTCAGTTTGAACACCCATTTATTCCTCAGTGATTTCTTACTTTTTGGAAGTTTCACAAGCTCATAGGTTTGATTTGTCTGCAAGGAATCCATCTCATCCTGCATGGCTTACATCCACTTGTCTTTATCTGTATGAGCTTGTGCCTCCTGGAAGTTCTCCTGCTCCCCCTTATCAGTAAGCAGAATATAGTCTGGCTCCGGATATTTACTCGACGGAATGCGTCCTCTTTTGGATCTTCGTGATTGAGGCTCGTCAGCTGTATGAGGTACATTATCCTCTGGCTACTATGATGGTCCTGCAACATCTGGTGGAGGGGGTTGTTGCTCCCCCTGCTTAACACCTTCATCATCATCTTGCTCTACTTCTGTAGTTTCATCCTACACTTTGTCATTATCTATGGTGAACTGTAATGGTGCAGGGTCTGAAATAATTTTCTGTGCACTGGAACTAGAACTGCTGCACTTTGTGGGATTTTCAAAATCCTCATATGCCTGCTTTTCATGGAACACCACGTCTTTGCTCTTGATGATCTTTTTGGCCTTTGAGTCCCATAATCTGTATCCAAATTCTTCATCTCCGTAGCCTATAAAGATGCACGGAGTGGTCTTGACGTCAAGTTTCTGCCTTTGCTCCTTGGATACATGTGCAAATGCTTTGTACCCAAAAATTCTTAAGTGAGAATAGGTAGGATTCCCACCAGACCACACTTTCTCCGGAATATCAAAATTCAATGGTACTGACGGTGATCTGTTTATCAAATAATAGGCGGTACGAACAGCTTCACCCCAGAATAGCTTTGGTAGCTTTGCCAAACTGAGTATGCATCGAGCTCTTTCCACAATGGTTCGATTCATCCTCTTCGCTACTCCATTGTGCTGTGGGGTACGTAGAACAGTCTTCTTATGTCTGATACCATAATTTCCACAGTATGCTTCAAACTCTCTGGAAGAATATTTACCTCCATTGTCTGTTTGGAGACACTTTAGCTTCGTTCCTGTTTCTCGCTCTGCCATGGCATGGAATCTTTTGAGGCATTCGTGTACTTGGTCCTTCGTCTTTAGGAAGTACATCCATACCTTCTGTGAAGCATCATCAATAAAGGTCAGAAAATATATGTTACCGCCCAATGATTCCACCTCTAGAGGACCACAAACATCAGAGTGTACCAGGCTTAACAACTCTGATCTCCTCTTCATAGAGGAACTGAACGAGATTCGATGTTGTTTACCAAATAAGCAATGATCACAAGGATTTAGTGCAACATCCTTGGCAACTGTGATGAGATTCTTCTTTGCCAAGGTAAACAATCATTTTTCCCCCGTGTGACCAAGTCTCTTGTGCCATAGATTTGGTGAAGCCTCATTTTCAACTGCATTGAGGCTGTCTAAGCAAACCTTCACATGGGTCTTGTAAAGCGTGCCATAAATATGTCCTTGGGTGACAACCAAGGCATCTTTCGTGAGCTTCCATGTGCCATTGCTGAAGTGGTTATCGTAGCCCTGTCTGTCGAGGGCTATCCCAGAAAGTAGATTTAGCCGAAGGTCAGGCACGTGTCGGACATCCTTCAATACCAATGTACACCCAACATTTGTTTTTATCTGAATATCATCAATTCCCACGATCTTGGAAGAACTGGTATTTCCCATCCTCACCGTACCAAAGTCTCCGACTTTGTACGTCGAGAAGAAATCGCTGTGAGAAGTGGCGTGGTATGAAGCTGCAGTATCTACCACCCACTCAGCGTCATGGTTGAAAAATGAAGGCATGTCTCCTCATTGACAGAAAGGATAGCCACGTCCTCTACGAGAGTGACTAGTGTCTCTCCGTCCTGTTTTTTCGGTTGATTACTGTCTTGGCCTTACTCTCGTAGCAACTTGCGACAATTTTTCTTCATGTGGCCATGCAAGCCACAATGGTAACACTTGTATGTAGGTCTTCCTCCGTTATTTGATCTCCCTAGATCTTGTGACTTTCCTCTACTCTTACTTCTTGCTCTTCCCCTGCCTCTGCTACCTCCATGATGTCTGTCTTTGCTCTCAGTAACGAGGGCATTTGACTGGTCAATGCCAACATCCTTTCTCCTGGCCTCCTCATTGAACAGGGCATCCTTAACCATTGACATGGTAAGGTTGCCTCCTGGAGCAGAATTGCTGAGAGAGACTACCAGTGTCTCCCAGCTGTCTAGTAGAGAACTGAGAAGTAAGAGAGCTTATACTTCATCTCCCAGATTCAACTCTATCGATGATAATTGATTTACCAGACTCTGAAACTCACTAGTGTGCTCGGCAATTGAAGTTCCACTTTTTAACTTTAGATTTACAAACCGCCTCATCAAAAGGGCTTTATTCAAGCAGTCTTGGCCTGGTACATGTCTTCCAGCTTCTTCCAGAGGACATGTGCATCAATCTCTTGTGCAACATGGTGGAATACACTGTGGTCAATCCATTGCCTGATTTGACCGATGGTTTTTCTTTTCAGTTTTTTCCACTCCGTTTCTTTTGTCGGATCTGGATTTACACCTTCTGCCTCCAAGGGATCGTACAAGTCTTTACAACTTAGGAGATCTTCCATCCGAGGTCTCCA